GATAAGCTAAAACAAAGAAGCCGATCCAGAAACTTCAAAATTCCAACTCTTCCAAGCTCGAATCAAGGAAAATTGAAATTATAAGAGGAAATCTTCCACAAATCATGCACAAACGAGATCAATGGATGCTTTTGTTAAAATGATAATACCAATAGAGAGAAAACACAAAAAGAGGCTAGGGTTCTTGATTAATTGATTGTAAAGATACAAAAAATAAGAACGTTAAATACTAACATAAGTAAAATAACTAATCTACCCTTAAGATAAAATAAAACTAATATATTTAACATCTCCCCTCAAACTCATNAAAGCCACATGTACATGCATGCCTCAAAACTTCGTCTACAGCACAAATTAAATTTGATCCTTTTAATCCCCAAAAGTTCACTTTGAGGCTATCTTGGCCTTATCCAAATAACTAGAAAGTAAACAGCTCCTTCGAAGATATCTAGGCCCGCGCCAGCTCCGGACCAGATCCAAGTTAAAGTCTCTTTTTCATTTTTATCTAAACCCATGTGCAAATTCAAACTATCCCATGCTGCCATTAGCCCAAACCCAAAACAAAACAATTAAAACTCAATTGAAAATCTTAAAGTGGTACATACACAAATATCCTTACTTTCGGTGTTATTTAGAAAAATCATGGCAAATACGGGTTAAAAGCCGAGTACTCTAATTTCAATCAATAAACAATGTAAATATTACAGCGATAAGCTAAAACAAAGAAGCCGATCCAGAAACTTCAAAATTCCAACTCTTCCAAGCTCGAATCAAGGAAAATTGAAATTATAAGAGGAAATCTTCCACAAATCAAGCACAAACAAGATCAATGGATGCTTTTGTTAAAATAATAATACCAATAGAGAGAAAACACAAAAAGAGGCTAGGGTTCTTGATTAATTGAAAATTTGTAAAGATACAAAAAATAAGAACGTTAAATACTAACATAAGTAAAATGACTAATCTACCCTTAAGATAAAATAAAACTAATATATTTAACATCTCCCCTCAAACTCATGATGCTGCTGNTAAGAAAAAATAAAACTAATATATTTAACACCTCCCCTCAAACACATGATGCGGCTGTAAAAAGCATTGAGAGTTTGCAAAAAAAAAAACGAAATCGTGAAATAGAATGTGACTTTGTAAATAAGTCAACAATTTGCATGGTGGAAGAAACAAAAGGTAATGTGATAGTGCCAAGCTGATGAGTCAAGTGACATGACAATCAATCTCAATATGTTTGATTCTCTCATGGAATACCGAATTGCACACAATTTGAATTGCACTCATATTGTCACAATACAATGGAGTGGGTTGGCGAAGAAGTAAGTAACCGGCCAATGTAACCAAACTATCTCTCAAGTAGTAGAAGCCATGACACGATCCTCTGCTTCTGTGGAAGACCTAGAAACAATATCTTGCTTCTTGCTCTTCCAAGAAATAAGATAATCCCCAAGAAAGATACGAAATCCAGTGGTAGAACGACGATCTGTAGAATCACTAGCCCAATCAGCATCAGAATATGCTTGTAATCCTAGTGGTGAAGTAGATGAAAGAAAAAGGATCTGAAACTGAGTGCCACGAAGATACCTCAAAATACGAAAAATAGCAGCCCAATGAACTATAGTAGGCGCAGTAACAAACTGACTAACTACATGAACAACATGTGCAATATCTGGATGAGTGATAGTGACATAAATCAAGCTACTAATAACAATACGATATAAACTAGGATCAAATAATGGAGAGCCATCAAAAGAGGAATATCAAGCATTAAGCTTAAGAGGCGTGTCAACGGTCTTATTATCAATAAGACGAGCATGCTCAAATATATCTGTTTTGTACTTGGACTGAGAAAGAAGATAACCTATCGAAGAAGATGCAACTTCAATACCTAGAAAGTAATGGAGTGAACCCAAATCTTTCATTGCAAAGCAACGAGCTAACTCTGACTTTAATTCTGCAATATCATCAATATCATCACCAATAATAATCATGTCGTCAACATATAAAGAAAGTAAAACATGACCAACGACTGTACATTTATAAAATAAAGCTGAATCATGATGGCTATGATGGAAACCAAGTGAAGTAATCACAGTGGAAAACTTCTCAAACCAAGCTTGAGGTGTCGTTTGAGACTGAGTTTGCAAACTTCACCAGGTTGATGGGAAACACTAGGATGAGGAACCATATAGACTTCTTCCTGTAGATCTCCATTCAAGAATGCATTTTTAACATCTATCTGAGATACACTCCATCGACGAATAGAAGCAACTGCAATAAAGGTACGAACAATAGTCATCTTTGCAACAGGTGCAAAAATCTCCTCATAATCTATACCATACTCTTGAGAATACTCCTTTGCAACTAATCAGGCCCTATATAGTTCAATAGATCCATCTGACTTGGTTTTGATTTATGGATCCAGGGAGAACCAATTGCTCGTTTTCCTGGCGATAGAAATACCAAGTCCCAAGTATGTGTCTGATGCAGAGCAATAAGTTCGTCAGCCATAGCTTCCTGCCATAGTGGATCACAAACTGCCTCTATATAGGACAAAAGCTCATAAAGATGATGAATAGAAGCTAAAAAGGAAATGAAAGAACCAGAATAACAAGAGTAAGCAAAGTCGGGTAATTGAGAGGACTTATGAGTACGCGTAGTATAACAAGGAGAAGGAGCCCCAGTCTCAAGAAGTAATTAGGCAGTCATAGGAGGAGAGGGAACAATTGAAGTATTAGGAGCCAAAGTACCGGTATTTGTAGAACTATCAGTGGGAACCCTGCAAGAATCATGATCTGAAGTGGAAGTAGATATGTGTGGAACAAGAGGTGGGACAATTTCAGTATCAACATCAAATAGATCAATGTGAATAAGATCAGACTTAATCATGTTATGAGAACTAGGACGAATAGTAAAGAAAGCTATATGTTCAAGGAAAACGACATGATGAGAAACATATGTTTTTTACCAACTGGATCAAAACAACGATAACCCCCCTACCAACTGGATCAAAAGGAATACAATTATTTTGGAAATGTTGTCTCATTAAAACCTTGTTAAGAGATTTCAGTGGGATAAAACCTAAGCGATAGAAAAAAGAGTACAACTATTTCCCCTGATATTGATCGCTGAAAATCTTTGAGTCGATGCATTCCAATCTTGTGAACCAATTTCTTGAATGTAGATGTTGGCATTACTTTTGTAAATAAATCAATCATGTTGTTGCTTTAACGAATTTGTTGAAAATCGTTGTCGCCATTCTTCTAAAACTCATGTGTATGAAAGAATTTTGGAGAAATATATTTCGTTTTGTCACATTTCATATAACCTCGTTTGAGATGTACAATACAAGCAACATTGTCTTCATACAAAATTGTTGTACTATCTTTTGTTGAAATTAATGTGCATGATGCTTGGATATGATGGGTCATGTTCCTCAACCATACACATTCTTAGCCTACTTCATAGATTGCAATAATTTTAGAATGATTTGAAAATGTTACTATCAATGATTGGTTCACGGATTTCCATGATATAGTCGTTCATCCACGTGTAAACACGTATTCTATTTGTGATTTAGTTTTATGTGGGTGCTTGATACTATTACAATATCTTTGTGTTGAAGTAGACCTATATCTTGTAAGAAGATTTACAGAAAAAAGTTATATTGAGTCGAGTACAGTTTGCGAGATAAGTTAATGCTCCAATTGTACTAAAAGATTTTACTTCAGGACCAAGAGCTTTTCTTCATCTTCAAGTGGATGAAAATGATCTTTTTTCACATCAAGTGATCGAACAACTATTGGTGATGCCAATGGATGTGCATTATCCATAGAAAATCATGTTAAAACTTTTTCTGTATATATAAATTGATGAACAAATAATCCT